ACTGGGATGGTAACTGGGCATACTGGGCTATACTGGGATGGGAACTGGGCATACTGGGATGAACTGGGAGGGGTAACTGGGCATACTGGGCTATACTGGGATGAACTGGGATGGTAACTGGGATATACTAGGATGGACTGGGAATGGGAATTGGGCATACTGGGCTATACTGGTGTGAACTGGGATGGGAACTGGGCATACTGGGCTATACTGGGATGGGAACTGGGCATACTGGGCTATACTGGGATGGACTGGGAAGGGTTACTGGGCTATACTGGGATGAACTGGGATGGGAACTGGGCTATACTGGGATGAACTGGGATGGTAACTGGGCATACTGGGCTATACTGGTGTGAACTGGGACGGGACCTGTCGCAGGTGTGTTCATCTGCCGCGGGCGCGAGGACGCTCTGGTGACGCGGAACCTGGTGCCGGGGGAGTCGGTGTACGGCGAGAAACGCATCAGCGTCGAGGTACTGCCAAAACTGGGTTATACTGGGATGTACTGGTTTATACTGGGACAAACTGGGAGGGGCTGGGAGGGGCTGGGAGCAAAAAACCCGGAGGTTTTAGGGGAAAAAATGAGGATTTTAGGGGTAAAAATGGAGGATTTTAAGGGTAAAAATGGGAGATTTAGGGTGAAAAATGTGAATTTTATGGAGAAACGGGGACTGGTTTATACTGGGTTATACTGGTTTATACTGGTTTATACTGGGAGGGGCTGGGAGCAAAAAATGCGGCGGTTTTGGGGTGAAAAATGGGGATTTTAGGGGTGAAAGTGGGGATTTTAGAGTGAAAAGTGTGAATTTTATGGAGAAATGGGGACTGGTTTATACTGGGTTATACTGGGATGAACTGGGAGGGACTGGGAGCAAAAAACCCGGCGGTTTTGGGCTGAGAAATGGGGATTTTAGGGGTAAAAATTGGAGATTTAGGGGTAAAAGTGAGGATTTTTGGGTGAAAAATGTGAATTTTATGGAGAAATGGGGACTGGTTTATACTGGGTTATACTGGTTTATACTGGGAGGGGCTGGGAGCAAAAAACCCGGTGGTTTTGGAATGAAAAATGGGGATTTTAGGTGCAAAAATGGGGATTTTAGAGGTAAAAATGGGAATTTTAGAGACAAAAATGGGGATTTTAGGGCAAAAAAGTAGACTGGTTTGTACTGGGTTATACTGGGTTATACTGGTTTATACTGGGAGGGGCTGGGAGCAAAAAACCCGGCGGTTTTGGGGTAAAATATGGGGATTTTACGGTAAAAAATGGGGATTTTAGGGGTAAAAATGTGAATTTTGTGGAGAAACGGGGACTGGTTTATACTGGGTTATACTGGTTTATACTGGGAGCGACTGGGAGGGGCTGGGGGTAAAAAACCCGGCAGTTTTGGGGTGAAAAATGGGGATTTTAGGGGGAAAAATGTGAATTTTCTGGAGAAATGAGGGACTGGTTTATACTGGGATGGACTGGGAGAAAAAAACCCGGCGGTTTTGGGGTGAAAAATGGGGATTTTAGGGGGAAAAATGTGAATTTTGTGGAGAAATGGGGCACTGGTTTGTACTGGTTTATACTGGGATGAACTGGGAGGGACTGGGAGCAAAAAACCCAATGGTTTTGGGGGAAAAAATGGGGATTTTAGGGGTAAAAATTGCGATTTTAGGGGTAAAAATGTGAATTTTGTGGAGAAATGGGGCACTGGGTTATACTGGTTTATA